GGGGAGCTGGTCGATGTTGTGGGGTGCAACAGGCTGTCGCTGCCAGGGGATGCATGAGCAGCACAGCGAGGACAAGAGAGCGCCGGGGAAGCGGGTGTTAGCAGGCAGCCAAAGGCATAGGGCCAGCAGATACTGGAGCAGGTAAGCGTGGGGGTCTCAGCTCAGGGGGGGGAGCTCGGGCTGCCAGGGTGAGCCGTGGAGAGTGACAGAAAATGAAGTGTTCCAGCTACCCTGCTTTGGCCATAGCTGGGATCAAACCAGCTAGAGTATCTGAGGGAAATGACTTGTTTTCTAAAGGCACAGGAAGAAGGAGATTTTTAAAAATACAAAAAAAAATGGGAAGTGATAGTGCTGGTAACACAAAGCACTGTGATTCTGACTTCTTTAGCGTCCTGCAGGTTCCAGGGCTGCCCCCGCCCTTACATTTCAGAGACAGCTATGGGAGATGGAGATGATGTCAGGTATGCACAGGTTATTTCTGGTGATCTTCACGCAGTTTCAGCAAGGTGGTATCTTCGTGTTTGCAGGGCTCCACTGCACCCACGCACCTTGCTGTGACATTCCTGTTTTGCCAGAGGAACTGTGAGGTCTGTGGAGCACACAGACAGAGGTTCATACCCATTGCTCAGCTGCAGACGTTGTGCAGGTTTTTACTGGTGAGGATGTGGATTTTACCAGCAAAAAAAAGGAAGAAATACTTGTCCAGAGTGATCCGTAAGCATGAGCTGGCTGTGGGGAGCAATACATCTCCCAGTCTTTGGAGAGCAGGGCTTGGATGTGGCAGCTTGGCGTCATCTCTGCTGAGGTTTTGCAGGCGAGGAGGGTGCTGTTTCTTACAGTGAACGCGCAGCGTCGGTAACACAGAGTGAGGATTGTGAAATGGAGGGTCTGACCTGGGGAGTGCTGGGCTCAGTGAGAAAACGGAGCACTTCTTGGGGTCAGGCTCTAGAACCAATTCAGGTTTTAAGACATTCACTCACGTTGGGGTTCAGCCACGGTAGCTGTGCAGCCCTCCACGTACCTGCGCCAAAGGCACATTTTCAGATGGAAATCACTTTTTTGCACAAGATCCACAGATTTGGCTCCTCTTAGTTGTTTGTTGGTTAGTTTCTAACATTTTTCTTTTCCTACTCAATATATCCTGCCTCTTGCCCCCCAGCTCTGGCACCAAGCAAACAAAACCGGGGAACAGACAGGGCTCTCCCTCAGGATTTCCAGCTGAGTACGCAGTTCGGGATGGATCACCCCTCTTCCTCAGCAGCAGACTGCAGCTAGAACCTTGTCCTTCCCCCCACTCCAGATCATTCCCTGTCTTTTTTGAATATCACCAATATTTGGGCTATAAAATATGTGACAGAGTGGCAGAACAGGCGCTCTATGTGTGTGTGCGTTCCCAGACTGACGTTCAGGGTGCACAGGATTGCACGATGATTAATAACTGTAGAAAAATTAGACCAAATGAAACACGCCCAAACGGGCTTGATTTATGTGGCCTTCATGTCTTCAGTTTGAGATGGAATGGTTATTACTCTCCAGTGCTACAGAAATAAAGATCTTAAACTTCAGTAATCGCAGGCAGGCCAAACCTGCTAGGAAACACAGTGCTTACGGCTCTTCAAGGTGGAGCGGGAGGAGAGCAAGCACCCGGGCGTGTGGGTGCGCACTCTTGTGTCTGGGTGCTCTGGCGCTCTGTGCTGCGCTGCTGCAGGGATCCAGCTCTGGGCTAATTTCACGCTGCGGTTGTTTTATGGGCTGGTTTGGTGTAAAAGGGAGTTGGGGGCTGTGCTTCCAGGCTGTTTGCTGTTAAGACCGCCTTGGCGGGCTCTAGGTGTGACGGGCTCTGCTGTTGAGGAGCCCCTGGGCAGTGGTGGTGACCCGTCCACCCTCCCCGACGGGAGTCTGCCTGGGTGCTGTGCAGCTCTGTTACTGCTGCACAAATGTCCCCTTCTCTCGTGGCCTCACTGCTTTTCTCTGGACTGCTGATACCCGGCGGCGAGAACTGCACCCCACCAAAGAGCCACGCTTTGGGCACCTTGTTCTGCCACCATTAGGTGGCCACAGGGCCACATCTGGGCATGGGATGCTGCCAGCACGAGCCCCTGCAGCTGGCTGTTCCGCTGGCTCTGGGGTGGGGCAGAGGATGGGGGTACCGCGCGATGGTGTGGAGATCCACGGCCAGGCAGAGACAGGCACCCGGGTCGTTAAGAGCACTGCTCCACGGCGGCCTCGCAGTTCACGGGCGGGCTGCACGGGTCGGGAGAGACCGACCGAGCCTTCTCCTGCTGGTGGTGTCCTCCCTGTACGGAGGAGGTGACGCACTAACTCTGGAAGACCTCTTCCCAAAACCCGTGTCGCGCACGCACATACATACACATCACGCATTCATACAGGTACCTGTACGTACATACAGCCGGCTAGCGAAATACAGGCGCCTCGGGGTGATGGGAACACACCTACACCGTTTTGGCAGGGTTGTTCTGCCCCGTCGACAGGACGCGGCACCACCCGCTGTTGGAAGGTGCAGGAGAAATTCCTGCACTAGCGGGTCTTGACATGGTGCCTCAAACCAAACCGGCAGCTCGGCAGAAGCAGGGAGATACGGTCGGTGCTCAGCGTGTCAAGCACCTTCCTCCCTCCCAGGCTTTTGCCTGGGACTGTGCAGGGGTGGTGGGCTGCAGCCCCCCCTCTGCTCCCCTGCTGAAAGCAGGCGATGAGGGCAAGAAGGGAGACGGACGCAGTGCAGAGGGGGAAGACGAAATTGGAATAACAGGTTGTCTAAAAGGTAGCGGGGTTTGGAGCTCTAAAAATATTCAACTCAATTCTACTTTGTTTCAGTGAGAGAACCTGAGTTTACCCCTAGGACATTTTCGGTCACTTATCGGCAGCAAGCCAAGAAGAAACTCAGTTAACAGAGTAGTTTATTCTTTCTAAAGTATCTGGGGAGCAAACTGGGCTTTGAGCTACCTTCCACGCATAACAAAGACCAAACATAAGTTCTGTTGAAACTAATTTGAGAACTTACATTGCCTTCAGTGGGACTGAGACGCTACTGAAACACCTTTTCTCAAGAAAAATGGGCACTGGCGTCAGTGAGGATGAGAGGAAGCCCTTAAGCTGTAATAAAATTCACATCCACTTACGCTGCTCGCCGCGCTCATCGCTTGTGTGTGTGGCAAACGGGTCTGGCCGTTCGCTGACGGTCTGGCATCACCAGGCTTGCGTTCTCGTGGTCTGTCAGCAGTCGTGCTTACGCTTTCCTTGGGACTCTGGGCTGAAGGCGCCTGGCAGGCACCCGCACCCCTGCACAAGTGCCCCGCAGGGGGGTGACCCCGCAGCCCCGCAGCCGCCGGCTGCACGTGGTGCCCCAGGCGCTGGCCTGGGCTCCGCTCGGCTCGGCTCCAGTCGCAGCCGCGCTCAGCTCCCTGACCCGCGCCTGCCTGCGCCTTTCCGGGCAGAAATACCCGTTTCCCAAGGGCCTTGTTACACGCCCAAGCGCCTTGAGACCGACAACTGAGCAGGACTCAAAGCATCAGGGGGAGACCAAGGGAGAACATGTGAGTTTATGGAAACCCATGGGGACCAAATTCTTTTATGTTTTTCCCTAAACCATCTGCATGCACCGTACAGAGGCTTCACAGC